GTCAAACACTCAACAATGTTTGAGCATCTACTCTGTACACGGTACTAAGGATCAATAAAGGAGTAGTCCAGTTTTAAGACAACACAACAAAAATGAACTCTCAACTCCACTGGCCGTAGCACCTTTCTACTGAGATCATCATGGCACAACTTCTTGATGAATAGGTACTTTTTTTAATGGTCACTCTCTTCACTTTTCCCTTCTGCTCCTCAATGCGCAGATGAATTGTGTGTTGTACTTACCAGTTGAACTTTCAACCCAAATATTCGAGGAAATTGCTCTTACCAAATTGCTTAGCACGTTGCCAAAACCAATGGTCAATTCTCTTCCTATTGTATCAGCAGCATCCATCCTAGTGGACCACGCTCCTCTTGAAACACTTTCTCCAGTTGACTTTTACAATGCCATCCCCTCCTAATTTTCCTCCTGCCACCCACTTCTACTCAGTGTTTTTTGCTGGCCCCTCCTCCTCTTTTCAACCTCTAAATGTTGATATGTCTATTCCAGGATTCAGTCCAGAAACTTTTTCTTTTATCCATGAATATTATTACCCTAGCTTATTTCATCTAGTTCTGTGCCTTTAAAAATTATTCTATGCTTCTCACGTACAAATTGACCTCTCTAGGACTAGCACAAGGGGTGTAATTATCCTAAAGTAACACAGAATTTTAATAAGCTGGCCAAGAAGAGGGATTTTCCTTTTCCCAGCATGAGGGACTGTGCCTAATATAGCTCCCTGTAGAATGGGTGGCTTTCTCCCCTAAGAAAAGGGACACTCTTTGCATGAGTCCCAAGGACTCTAGGTGCTCGGCCGCTGATTTTCCCAGACAATCTTGTGAATAGCTGGCACATAAATCCAGACTGTTTCACGCCAACAGCCTGTGTTCCTCCCTTGATAAAACTGTGTCCTTGTTCTTACATCATAAAAAGTTATAATAAGGGAGACTAGTGTTCCTACACTGAATGAAGACTCACATTGTTGGCCCAGCAATTTCCTAACAATTTATGCATCAGCATAAGATAAGAGGATGGGGAAATCATGCCGCCTCTTCTTTTGCTAATCAGTAATCTTTGTGAGTTTCCCTAATACAGAATATTATTTAACCCATGATTATCATATTGAGAAATTCTTTACAAATTCTGATGCCAGTAGGTGGTAACTCAGATGAGCATCACTTTACACAGCATGCTGACCTTCTCTGAGCATGCAGACAATTTCGTTGTCTCAGGATCGCATGTATAAAAGACTGTCTATTTTTTCCATTGAATTTACTTTTGTCAAAATCAATTGGTCATACGAATTTAGGCCATTAACTCACACATAAGCAAAAATTCCCTCAACATGGATTATAGGCCTAAATGTAAGGGCTAAACTATACACTTCTTGAAGAAAACAGAAATTAATATATTCATGACATTGGATTAGGCAAAAGCCCAAATTTTCCTGGTAGAAGGAAAAAAGTTGAAAAATGAGACATGATCAAAACTAAAAATGTTTTCATGTTAAAAGATATCAATAAGAAAGTGAAAAGATAAGCCACTTTTGACTGAAGGAAAAAAATTTAAATCATATATTTGATAAAGGACTTATATCCAGAATGTAAAATGTACTCACAGCTAAACAACAAAAAGATAAATAACCCAATTTTAAAATGAGCAAGATATTTGAATAACCATTTCACCAAAAAGGTGTAGGAATGGCCAATAAAGTACAAGAAAAGATGGTCAGCATCATCAGACAGCAGGGAAATGCAAATTAAAACAACAATATGACACCACTTCTTATCCACTAGAATGCTATAATAATAATAATAATAAAGACAATAACAATTAGAGGAAGTGAAAGCACAACGATGTGGGAAAATTAAAATATTCATGCATTGTTGATGGGACAGGCCACCGTGTTCGAAAACATTTTGGCAGTTCCTTAAAATTAAAGATGCACTTGCCATATGACCCAGCAGTTTTACTCCTGAATACCCCAAAGAAATAAAAATGTATTTCTACACAATGCATGACTGTGAATATTTATAGCAGCTTTATCCATAATGCACTTTGGGAGGCCGAGGCGGACGGTTCATGAGGTCAAGAGATTGAGACCATCCTGGCGGACATGGTGAGACCCTGTCTCTCCTAAAAATACAAAAATTAGCTGGGCATGTGGCATGCACCTGTAGTCCCAGAACCCAGGAGGCAGAGGTTGCAGTGAGCCGAGATTGTGCTACTGCTCTCCAGCCTGGTGACAAAGCGACACTCCGTCTCAAAAAGAAAAAAAAAAGGTGGAAACACATAAATATCTATCAGTCAATTAACTGATGGCAGCCATCCATACAATTTAATAGAATTTGCCACCTAAAAGGAATGAAATATTGATATGCACTACAACATAAAGGACCCACATGAGTATGCTAAGCTAAGTGAAAGAAGGCAGATGCAAAAGACCACATATTGCATGATTCCAGTTATATGGTGTCCAGAAAATCAAATCTGTGGAGTCAGGAAGTCATAGGGGCTGCCTAGAGCTGGGGGGTTGGGAATAAGGGGTGGCGACTGATGAGCATGATGGATTTCTTAGGAAAGATAGAAATGTTCCAAAACAGGATCATGGTAATGGTCACACAAGTCTAAAATTTTCCTGAAAACAATTGAACTGTACACTTAAAACAGCGGAATGTTATAATATGTCAATTATACCAGAGTAAAGCTGTTTATAAACAGAAAGTTGGTAGAGTGGCCCCCATCAGCCTTGCTCTTTGTCTTACGGCTCACTTTCCGAAAGAAAGCAAAATATTTATGGGTTTAAAGAAAGCTTACAGTTATTGCTTTTACTCAGAGACTCCAAGAGACACTGGCTGAAATCTAAGAGCCTCCAGAACTCTCAACAGCTGAAGGAACATTCGTTCCCACCCTGAAGGTGATGGGGGTCTGTAAGGTGCACTTCAGCTTCTGATACAGCAGGCAAGGTGTGTGATGCACCTGGATGGTTTCAGATAGCACTCCACAAGTCTCAGCAAGACCCAGGGCCTGTGTCTATTTCTGAGAGCTTCAGAGGACAAGCTGCTACATCTTGCATCACAGGGCCAACCTTTCCTAGGCAAGTATGTTTGAAGCATTGGTAGCCAGGTTCCAAGTAGAAGGTGAATGTCTACAACACGGGAGAAAGACAAGACACAGAGTGCGGTGTCAAGCTAAATCGTTTGTAGAGTATTACTTCTGACAACTTCAGAAAGCATTCTTTTCAAGTGCTTATGGCATTTTCACCAACATAGACCATATGCTGGACCATAAAACAAATATCAGTATATATCTAAGAATCAAAATCATAGAGTATATGCTCCAGCCACAATAGTATTTAATTAGAAATCCGTAACAGTAAGATATCTAGAAAATCAATTTTAGAAAACATGCAACATGCTTCTCAGTAACACTTGGGTCAAAGAAGACATCACAAGAAAAAAATCCAAAACATCAGTGACTGAGTAATCAAAATGTTGGATACAGCTAACATAGTGTTTAGAGAGAATTTTACAACTTTAAATGCCTATAGTGGAAATGAGCAAAGGAGTGAAGTCAATTATCTATGCTTTTATCATAAGAACCCTGAAAAAGAAGAGTAAAATAAACCCAAAGTTAATAAATATAAGCCAATAATAAAAATAGTGAAAACATGAAACAGAAAAATGAACAAACAGTAGAGACAATCAGTGGTCAATTTTTCTGTGCTCCATGCACAAAAATTCAGTTCAGAATGATTTTATATTTAAATATATATCCAGAACCACAGAGATCTTAGAATAAAAATTAGGAAAATATAGGAATAAAATGGGAACTCTGTGGGAATAAAAATCAGAAAGTAATTGCCCACCAGGTAAATTGGGGGGAGGGCAGGGAATTGACTAAGAACAGGCAGAAAAAAACTTTCTGGAGTGAAGGAAATGGCTTATATCTTCTTTTTGGTGGTACTTACATGGACATATATAACTGTCAAGGTTCATTGACACTGAACACTTAAGTGTATACACTGAACACTTAAGATCTGGGTCTTGTAATGCATGTAAACTACATCTCTATTTTGTTAAGTAGAGAAAGGTGTCTTGGGGGATTTATGGCAGTGGTGTTTGGGCAGACTGGGGCATAGGTTTCAGAAGCATTCACAGCATCTTCAGTTCAACAATTTGCTAAGAATGTTTTTGCAGCCAAAAATATAAGATAAGTGCAAATATCTATGATTAGAGCCACTGGGCATGCCATATAATTAATTCGTTATCACTAGATACCTTTCCTTCAATGAGGTTCTTCCATTAGGAACTCAGAGCTCTCCAGAGAAAAATTGCAATTGAGGTTTGGATATATTGGGTGGAAAAGAAAGTCACCTCACATAAAACTTAGTGATTGGAGCTGTCACCATTGTAAATTTCTAAACTTTGCAAGACAGCAGCAACATTTCAAATGACATTCTGAGAGAGGCGATAATGGGCTAACATAGATGTCCCTCCAGGTGGAATTACTGCACAAGGACAATTACATTGCCCTTGGAGACATCTCCCAGTTTGGTTTAAGTTCACAGATTGCGGATCCCAGACAGCTGGTATCAACTGACCAGTGTTCTGTTAAGGCTAAACCCAAGACTCTTTATCACACTGCGGCCTTGAGATTGGACTTCTCTTCCTGTTCCTGGGAAGAATTAGAGATATAACCTAAAGGTCACTATTATTCTGAGAAAAGGGATCCTGGAGGAGGAGGGAGCAATGAGTATGTGGCAGGAGTTCAAGGTGACAAGGGCTGAGCCAGAAGCCACAGAGCATAAAGCTCCGGTCCTTCCTCCAGGGATGAGGCAATGAGGACTCCGACTCCTCTGTCCAGTTTTTAACAATCTAACTTACGGTTAGAGCTTTTTCCTTTTCTTTCAACTACTCCTGGCAGTAGTGGGGTCATGGAATTTTTGTAAAAAATGGGGTGGAGGAAAATAAGGCATCTGTGTGAGTGTATAACCATTTTACCTCTGTTTTTAGTCCTCTTCTGGGTCACACTAGAATCAGATCTGCTCCCCAGCATCTTCTGTTTCCTGGAGAGTGATTCCTGCTACGTTGGATTGGCCATGACGGGCTGGAGCTGCCTTGTGACAGGAGCAGGAGGGTTTCTGGGTCAGAGGATTGTCCGCCTCTTGGTGGAGGAGAAGGAGCTGAAGGAGATCAGGGCGTTGGACAAGGCCTTCAGACCAGAGCTGAGGGAGGAATTTTCCAGTAAGTAACCTTGAGTCATGGGTCTGTGGCTCCATCTTAAACTCCGCACGGGTGTGGGGAGGTTGACCTTGTCTAACAAGTGAAGGAAAGTTGTAGCCTAATGAAAGCCAATCGCACATCTAAAGTCATCAGAAAGGAAACAGTATTAAATGGTATAGTGTGAAAGATACTGGATAGGGTGTCCAGAGACTGGCTTCTGGCCCTGACCCAGAACTTGAAGGGCAGCCATGTCAGCCTCAAGGCCCCTTTTCTTCTCTTCTCGAAAATCACACATGAGTTCTCTTTCTTGTCTACAACTCTTATATTCTGAAGCTTTTTGTCTTGGCAATTGCTGTGCAACATTCACAAAGGGCACCATTTACCTGGAGACCTCACCAGTGGGTCCCTGCCTCTCTAGACTGCCCCAGGCTTTGTTTCATTTTATAACTTCTTTAGCATCTTTAGTGAAGGCAAAACAAAAGGAAGTGAAGGTACAGATGTGTGTGTAAGTGGATGTGTGTGTAAGTGGATGTGTGTGTCAAAGAGAGAAAGAAAATGAGGGGGAAAGCAAATCAGAGACAGAGAATGAGAAAGAGAATGAATGAGAAAGGTAGTGTGAGAGAGAGAGAGCATCAGCAAGAGAGAGAGAGCGAGAGTGAGAGAGATCATCAGTGAGAGAGAGAAAGAGAGAAAGAGAGCGTGCACAGGTGCACAACACAGAGCAGAGACAGAGTAAGAGGCAGTATGAGGCCAGCATGCCTCATTTATATTTCTCATATATAGCTTTTTTTTAAAAACCATTTGTCTCTGTTGCTCAATACCCCAAAGAAATTGACTGCAGATTTTGCTGTAGTAACTCTTTGTGCAAATAATCCTGTGAGGAAGATAGAAAAGGGGTCACCTCCAACTGGACAATGAACCCATCAAGTTCTGGAAACATAAAGTAACTTGCCAAAAACAGCTGATTAATGTGTAGCAGAGCTCAGACCAGAGCTTCATTCCAGACGCTTCATCACTTGACCCTGGGGCTAATCCTTGGCAAAGTAGGTTTTCAGTCTCTCCCTTTGCCTCTCTGTGTGCCCCAAACCAATTCCCTGTCCTCCTTCCAGATGTTTGCTCTTTCCCAATAAACTGCTACACATTCTGATTTCTGTGCTTTTGTTTACTTGTTCCTTTTATGGAATGTACACCCTCCACTCTAACACCCCCACTCTAACCGTCTATCCAGGGGACTGGGTGAACTATGTGTCTTCATGCAGGTTCTGGCTGCCTAGAAGGTCCTTCCCTGTTCACACAGAAGCTGCCCTTGACACTCTATTCTTCTTTCACTCTGACCTCTTCAAATGTCCAATTTCCACCACTCTCTGTTCTAATGGTGTCTTTGAAAAACAAATATTAACAAATGACAAATATTAAATGTTTGTACTCCTTATATCTCAGCAATATTTGCAATCTAACATCTGATACCAGGAAAAAGCAATGCTCAGCCTAGAGGAACAGTTTTCCTATGGTGAAAATGCAGGGGATATAATGGATGGGCAGAGGTCTGTATGAAGATAAAAACAGAGAATTCTTTCAGTGTTCTTTCTGTGCCCAGGCACTGTGCTAAACGTTTTGTATGTGCAGACTCATTACTCCTCATAACAACCCTATGAGATCGGTAATATTATTATCTTCCTTTTTTTATAGGTGAGGAGACAGGCACAGAGAGATTAACCAACTTGTCCAAGGTCCTACAGTTAGATTATGGCGAAGCTGGATTTGAACCCAGGCAGTTTAGTGCAGCGTCGGTGCCCTTAAGCAGTAGTTTGTCTAGCAGCTTCTCTGAGCCTCCCTCCAGCCCAACACACACCACAAAAGCAACTGCATTTAGTCTACATGAAACACTTGCCAAGTCCACAGTGCCTTGGAGAAGGAGGGAGCTATGGCTCCATCAAAAAAGTTCCCTTTTCTGGTCTCTCTAGATCCCTGGGGACTCACTGGGGAAGAGTCATTTTCTATCAGCTTTGGACTTCTTCTGCTTTGAGATGGTAATTCCTTTGAGCCAGTCTGTCTAAAGTCAGCAGTAAAGGAGAAGCAGAGAAAGGGAGTAGAAAAGGTAGAGGTGGAAATACAACCAGAGAAAATTCCAGTCTCGGGCTCACATCCACCTCCTTCCCAGCAGCCTCTTCCCTGACTCCACCATTGCAGGGCCTTCTTGGAGTTGCCTGACAGTGGGAAGGGGCTGCGAGTAGACAAAACAAGGCAGAAGCATCAGGAGAGCAAATGGTCCTGCCTGTACCCCAGGAAGGAATTTCTCCAGCCTATAATTTTTCATTCCGAATTTTGTTCTCACTGTTCTTTGACCTTTGTTGGCAATTTCAGTTAAACTGGCTTATTCTTACTCTCTCAGAAAAGTTGATTCTAAACAGCTATTCCTGCACCTGGGGTACAGGGTCTAAAAATGGCAGGTGGGATGGGCAGATTTCAGCCTTCACTAGAAAATTGACTTTAGATCTGTCCCTTAACCTCTCTGAGCCTAAGTTTCCTCACCAATAAAGTAGGACTCAGAATAGCTACCTCACGAGATAGCTGTAAAGGGAAAGGAGCAAGCTGTGGGCCATATGCAGATTATAAAGCACAGATGAGAGTAGAGTATTTATCTGAGCTCCATGTAGCATGGTGTTCATTTTGGGGCTAATTCCAGGTGACAACTTTACCGGCAGCGTTACTGCCTGGAGATTTCAGAGAAGCCTGAAGATATGGATGTTATATCTGCTGCCCTTGGCTAGACACTAGACATCTGGGATGTTAGTTCATCGGTGGCTAACTCATTTTCCGCATTGCTATCTGCTTTTTATGATAACTGATAAAAATTTCTCAATGAAATTCATCATTTAAGCCCATCTGCAATTCCTGAGTAATGGCTCCACTCTCCTCCCAATTGCCCAAGCAGGAAACCATAGGGGTGATTTTGTCTCCTTTTCCTCTCAGCCCAGATCCAGTAGGTACCAGGATCTTCAAGGTAAGGTCTGAAATTCAAACCTGGTGTATCTCTCCCCTCCTCTGCTTCCACTGCTGGACCCTGCCTCCAGCCCTCGTCTAAACCTTGGCACAGACATTCTGATTAATCTCTTGATCACCTGGATTTCTCATATACCCTATACCGGTCCGTTTTATATCCTCAAGTCAAGGTAAACTTCCTATGCCACCACTCTGCGTCTGTTTCTCTTGTATTATTATTATTATTAATATTTTGAGACAGGGTCTTTCTGTGCCACTGAGTCTGGTGTGCAGTGTCATGATCTCAATTCACTGCAACCTCTGCCTCCCGGACTCCATCCATCCTCCCGCTTCAGGTTTGTGATTACCTGGGACTATAGGCATGTGCCATCATGCCGGGCTAATTTTTGTAATTTTAGTAAAGACAGAGTTTTGCCATGTTTTGCAGCCTGACCCCCACCTCCAGAAATCAAGTGGTTCACCACCTCAGAGTCCCAAAGAGCTGGAATTACAGGCATGAGCCACTGCGCCCAGCCTGTTTCTCTACTGATTCCAACATAAATAAGGGTTTTTCTTTGACATGGTGCTGGAGACCCAAAATCATAATTCTATACATGATTCCTCATTACCTACAGAATTAAATTCAAACTTTCCCTCTTATACCCAACTCTCCACAATCACTCTATTCTCCATAAAAAATTTGGTGAGTCTCCCATGACTCTAGCAATGCTTATATTCCAGGGACGTGTGACAGTTCACTTCTCACATTACTTTTCTGGAATAAGATAGGGTAGAAACAGATGTTTGCTCTTTCCCAATAAACTGCTACACATGCTGATTTCTGTGCTTTTGTTTGCTTGTTCCTTTTATGGAATGTACACCCTCCACTCTAACACCCCGCTGTAACCATCCTTGAACACCTATGTAACATCACCTTTATCAGAAAACTTCCCAACCAGATCCAGAAAGCTTTCCAATGACCTGACCTGTGTTCACACAGAGCTCCAGAACAAGACCAAGCTGACTGTACTGGAAGGAGATATTCTGGATGAGCCATTCCTGAGGAGAGCCTGCCAGGACGTCTCGGTCGTCATCCACACCGCCTGTATCATTGATGTCTTTGGTGTCACTCACAGAGAGTCCATCATGAACGTCAATGTGAAAGGTACGGTAGCCTGGGGAGGAGATAAAGCAAGTTGGTTAAATGAGGTTCAGAAAGAAGGACAAGAAAGGGAAGAGAAGTCACTCCACTGAACACCTGCTGAGCTCTGGGCCAAGTGCCTTTGCTGATCACTACTGACTGGGGAGTTCAAGGCTGGTATCCTCAGTTTTTTAGATGAGAAAACTAGGGCTGAGAGACAGCAAGTAACTTTTCCAAGGCCCCACAGTTAAGTAAGTAAGTAGGAGCATTAGACTTTAAACTCACTCTTGTGTGACTCCAAAGGCTGTGGAAGCTCTTTCTACTGTGGCCCCAATCAAAAGTCAACTAAACTCCAACTTCAAACTCATGATATCCAGCTACTCCTTGGCTCCCTGGGCCAGAATCAGACCTTCCAGGTGCCACCGTAGTCATCATTTTGAACCTTGTGTGCAGGCTGATGAGAACATTCAGAGCCCTCCTGCCCACCTCAAAGAAGAAGTCCTCTCGAGAGAACTAGCGAAGCTGGTTCACAGAGGTCTGTCAGGACTGAATTATCCAGCACATGCCTTCCCACAATATTTTCTTAACAATAAGAGTTTTCCAGTATCAAGAATACAATCTCTTCAGCTCACCACAGGGCCTACTATTACAGAGCCATTTCCAGCCAGGTGCCCAAAGTGCACCCTCATTTGATCCACATTTTTTTAAGGAATCTTGCCATGCAGTCTCACCCTCTGA